AAACTACACAATTCTTTCCAGGAAACATCAGAGGAATTTACTCAGAAAATACAGGCATGCAATTTAACGTGTTACCAAAAGTACATTTTGTGCAGAAAGACACATTATCTAATCTGCAATTGGTCAAGGTGGAGCAAATTTTAACTGTGATACACTGTTGTGGTTTAATCTTTAACAGAGCGTCATATTTTAAAAACATGTTTTTATCAAAGATTTTAATCCAAAAAGCCGTCAAATAAATGAACTGGAGTAAAAAGCACTAGAATATATTACTCTAAAAATGTAGAGAAATACAACAGGCAAAGTAAAGTTAGACAGAAACCCAGAGTTATTGGCGATGATTAACTGTTGGTGTCTGTGTCTTTGTGTGGTAGAGAAGAGGGCTGCTCCGTCCAGGGCTTCGTGGAGATCTTTGATATGCTGATAGCTGCCACGTCCAGGGTGCGAGAGCTCAAGCTGCAGAGGGAGGAGTATGTCTGCCTCAAGGCCATGATCCTCCTCAACTCCAGTGAGTGCGTGTGTGTGGGTGTACATCCTAGTGGTGGGAATCTTTGGCGAACTCTCGATTCGGATTCTTGGCACTACGAGTTTATTCAGAACAATTTTAAATTAAATGATTAGATTCTAGTTTACCGTCATACAACTGATTTCTGTGGCCACTGAGCTGCTAATGAAGCTTAACAGACAGTTAACTGGTTCTGATGAGCATCAAAACCAAACACTTTACATACTGCTACCCAGTGGTAATAATGTCAATGTGCCAATCTGCATTATGAGTACTTTTACTGTTGGTACTTTGGTTATATTGTGCCTTTATTTAAGTAACGATTTGAATGCAGGACTTAATATTTTTCATTGTCTGTGCTGTACTGCTAGCACTCGGTTGTGTTGTTAACATTACGTCTGCGGCAGCTGAGAACAGTGTCTGTGCTGCAGCGTTGCTACCAGAGAAAACCAGCATGATCCAAAATGGGCACTGAGCCATAGGAACCAGCTGTTTACTTTTTTCTACCAATCTGACTGAAGATGAAAGTTATGACCACAGATGTAAAACACAGTTCTAGTATGTGCGCGCTGTCCATGTGCAACACTGGCTTTTCGGTTGACTTCCACCTTTTTCGTTCTGTCAATATTGTGACAAATCGATTTTTAGCATTTGAGAACCGATTGATCATAGAAGATGTGAATCACTGTCCTAATGTGAATCATTTTTTCCCCCTCCAACCCCTAGTAATCCACTCTCTCCCCCGTGTGTTCAGCCTGCGTCCTCGGTGTGTGTGACACCACAGGCCAGTGTCTGACTGTTGTCTCAGCATGTAATCCTACCTGTGTGTGTGTGTGTGTGTGTGTGTGTGTGTGTGTGTGTACAAAGGGTTGGCAAGGGGACCAGCCAAATGAATTACCAGTGTGGGAGCACTGTTTATAGCTTGTCTCTGCTCAAAGCGCAGTGTAACATTACCTGTGTGAGTCAGTAATGTCTGTCTGAACATCAATATTTAAGCATCCGACCTTGTAACACAACTGAAAGGTTGGACCTTTCACAGATACTTTAGAATAAAGATGTTTTAACTATTGATTTAAATAGAAATCTAGGGTCTTTCCCGTTGCCTGAGGTTTGAGCATCAGAAGGTGTTTCCACACTGGCTTCAGTCTCCGACTGACATTCACAGTACTTGGTTTGGTAGAGTATGAATAACACTTCATACCTGTCTGATGCGGAAAAGGCCTATGAGATTCATGTTACAGCATTTTGCACACATGTATCAGAGTACTTGTATCATGGAACTGTTCAGTTCACAGTTTTAAATTATTAATATAAAAAACACAGCTACTGTTCTCTGTTGTGTCAACAATCCAAGTCAAAATACGTCTATCAGCTTAAACAATTATGGCTTTGTACAGTATTTTTTTATTTGGATACATTTATAATATTTTTGGTTTGTTATGAAATATTTGCCTTGAAAGTAATTCTGTCCATGTGTGTTACCAGACATGTGCCTCAACTCCTCCGAGGGGAACGAGGAGACGCAGAGTCGCTCTAAGCTGCTGCGACTTCTTGACGCTGTAACGGATGCTCTGGTGTGCCATCGCCAAGACTGGCTTGACCTTCCGCCAGCAGTACACCCGCCTCGCCCACCTGCTCATGTTGCTCTCACACATCCGTCACGTCAGGTAGGAAGCACCTCAATTCTTTGAGGTCATAGTTAAAGGTGGTGTTGTACAGGACTACGTTATATTCAGAGGGGTTTCTAATATTCTGACCCTCTCTATGTCAATGGGCAGGACAAAAAGAGACTTGTAATAATGAACATAATTGAATTTATATATTTGACAATCTCACCAAAAACAAACATTTTGAGCTTCTTAAACACACGTTGCATATCGGTGTATATTTGTAACTTTCAGTTTACATCGTTAAGAAAAGTCTCCATTTTCTTTGTAGTATCATCATGATGACAAACACTTGTTTTTATTGCTGTACTTTTCTTTAAAAATGTGTAGTAACAAAGGCATGGACCACCTCCACTGCATGAAAATGAAGAACATGGTGCCTTTGTATGACCTGTTGCTGGAGATGCTGGATGCTCATATCATGCACAGCTCCTGCCTGCCTGGCCGGGTCCCCCAGCGGGAGGGTCCCGCTCAGACCCACAGCGATGGAAGTGGAGGTGAACCCCAGTAGTCGGAGCAGGATTCAATGAATTTTCACTGCTTTGCACAGAACTAGTCCACAGGACTGAGCGCTTGATTGTCTTTGACACTGTGCGCTATTTCTGGTGAACTCATTTTCTGTTAAAGCTAAAGAAAACAGACCGAACTTGCAGGATTGGTTGCCTTACCAGCACATATTGAAAAGCCAGAACAAAAAGAACACTTGCAAATGCCTTTGCACCAGTAGTTACTTAAATGTTGTTGCATGCCATTTCATTCTCTCATTGCTACAGTCGACATCATATGCTCATTGTTTTGCAGAGGTTCGCATGTAGGCGAAGATAAAACGGTGGAAGTAGAACCCTGCCACGTTTGAAGGCGCTCTGACCACATTTTGAGAGCACAAAGGCAGAGTTCTGTAAGCACAGAATCAGATTTGAGAGCTTAATCCCGGCCATGTGTGCACTCAAATTTGAATCTGCGCTTTCAGATTTCTTCACTGGGGTTTGTGTGAAAGTCTGTTTGCACCAAGTTTTAAAAGTGCGCAAAAAAACGCGAGCACTGTTCAGTTTGCATATCAGACTGAATCATGAGCCTAACAGATGAGTTGGAAGTTGAGCAGCAAGAATCCTCCTACTCTTAAATCTGATTCGCAAACTGAAGAGCACTTGAAACTTCATTTGTGCACTATCAAAACTTTTTGCACAGACACACTTTCACACAAACCCCAGTGGAAAAATCTGAGCATAGATTCAGAAATGACTGCATGCACTGATTCTGCACTTTCAAATGCTGAACTGCAAAGTGAGGAGCACTCAATGTAGTTAGAGCACGCTCAAACGTTGTGGCGGGGATTTACTTCCATATAAAATGGTCCCCAAAATATGTAGGAGCACATTAGATTGACTATTTTCACTAATGTAACCCCTCTTTTGTAGTAAAGTCACTTCTTAGAACAGCTGTCGTCACCCTTACATTCAGATGTTACACAGATTACCTAGTACGCTGCAGCTCTGACGGGTAAAATTCAAGCGTTATCATGCACAGACTAGACGTCTTCATGGGTCCACACAAAGACAGTGTATTTTGGGTTAACTGGAATTTAGTAAAGTTGGTCAATTTGTATTGTTCGCTATTCAGTAGTAGATCCCTCTTTTCCAGTAAGGCCACTGATGTACTGGAAGCTACTGGAACAGAAGCTAGCTTTGAGGTAGCTAACAAATGAGTATTATAAAAAATGGAATCAGGACCTAGTTCATTTCTGCACTAGGTTCTGATTCCATCTGAAATCTGACAGCTCGTTTGCAGTAACTCACCAGTCCTAGCTCCATTGTCAAAGACGTGTTTTCTGTGAGGGATCGTAACCACTATTGCTCTTAAGACAATGTTGCACTCATACCTGCCAAGTTTTGCTCGAAGAAAAGGAAAAGACTATTTTTGTATCTTAGAACTTACTAGAATAGCTGTTGTGCGCACAGCTTTGACAATCAAACGCAGGCTTTGAATATAACCCCTCTCTGGATGTCTGTGACACTTTAAAGGAGAATGTTGTATTTTCCCTAAAAGCGGCTGTTGCTACTCTGTTATAGAAACCCAATCCATTGTACGCATACGTGAAATGCAGCTACTTCCTGAGTGGTTAGGGCAAGATGATATAACACTGCTGTAAATTGCTTCTACAACAAATTTGGTAGGCAGCACAGTGGCTAAATGGTGATTGTGTGGCTAGTGCTAATTGTGCTATCACCGTCTCTGTTATAGAGATTCGGGTAAACGAAGTCGTCTTAAGCGTGCTCAGAATAACCATGATTTCAATCAAATCTATCACACTTACACTGGCCACTTTATTAGGTACACCTGTACAATTGTATGCACTTCAATGCAACACTTTCACCTTAACATTTGTGTTTATGAAGCTCAAAGTCTTAGTGGTGAAATTGTCAAATGTATAAATTCAGTTTATTATTGAGGTCACAGTTAAAGGTGGTGGTGTACTGGACTACATTATATTCAGAGGTGTTCCTAATGTCCCGCACATCTACATACATTAAGGTCAGAACATTAGGAACACCTCTGAATATAATGTAGTCCAGTACACCACCACCTTTAACTGTGACCTCAATAATAAACTGAATTTATACATTTGACTGTTTCATAAACAGATGTTAAGATGGAAGGGCTGCATTGAAGTGCAGACAATTGTACAGATGTACCTAATAAAGTGGCCAGTCAGTGTATGACTGAGGCAGAAGGAAAGCATATACAAGGTACAGATTCCTGGGGTAGCCATTACAGCTAACTGCATAGATGACCTGGATGTACAGTATGTTCCTATGCAGGCAGCTGTAATGGCCCAAACATCTGTTGGTGAATCCCAGTTCTGTTTTTGATCGTTCCTGACTCAACGCGGAAGTTGTTCTAGTCCGCCATGATGTCCTAAAGCTCTTGTTTCTCCTCTGTGAACAGAGCAGGCTGCTTGTAGGGGCTATACCAAAGGATGTGAGTGTATCCTTCACAGAAGTGTGTTAATGGATTGACACGCCCCTTTATTAGTTCATGACTTAATTCACAAAGGCTTGGAGTTAAAATGCGCTTCCTCTTGCCTCAGTTTGTCCTTGTGTCTTAAGATGCAAGGAAAAGACAAGTGGGCTGAATGTCAGTGCAGTTACTGGAATTGGGATTCACCATATATCTTGTAACTACTTTTCTTCTAACTTAAAGGACGCAAAATAAATTAAGTTGTATTTCAGCATGCTCGGAGGCTAACTGATGGGCCTTTTTGACTCATCATAACAGGAAAAGCACAGGTGAAACAAATGTTGGTAATGATGGTTTGTTATACCTCTGCCTTTTGCTGTTATGATTTGACAAAATGTCTGCTGTGAAAAAGGTCTGCTGCCATTTAACACAACTTTTCGTTTTCCCAAATTGTTACAGCAGAGGTAGCGATAATAAAATTAGCACTAGCTAATCACTGTACCCACTTTTAGGGGAAATACAACAACTGTGCTTATCCTCCAAGTCCTGTCTGGTGCTTTTCCTCAGCTTTTACTTTTTAATCACCATGTATCCGACTGTATTATCACTGTGTACTTCTTGTTCCTAGAAAATGTCATAGCTACTGCATTTCAGGTGATCACTTTTAATGTGTCAACCTGTAAAACTAAGTGAAACAACTTTTGGATTTGCTATTAATCATCAAACATTAGCTTCAGTCTGCTCATTCGCTTGCAAATCATGTTAGCTGAGGATCATTCATTTCTGTCACATTTGATGTTTACACTGTGAAATAAAGCAAAAATATTGTACAGATATTGTGACACTGGTGCATCTGTCTATCCTTGTTCTGTTTGACATTTTAAAGATCTCATTGACCTTAGTTAAAATGTTTACTACTAGAGAATCAGCAGCTTAAATCCACAAACATTATCCTACTAATTCTAGTTTCAACGCCGCATCAAGACTTGCAAAAATGCCTGCTCACAAGCTACTTGAGACAAACTATCTCCATTTTTGTTCAGAGAATAAATACAACTTTTTTAAAAAAAAAGGATATTAAAATACAATATTTGGGGATTTCAGAAGATTGTTCAGTGTGTTCTTAAAAAAAAATGCTAATTATGACTATCAGGTTGGCGGCGGGCCATTGGTGTAGTGTAACATGGGGTAGAAAGACCTGGCGAAGTTGTTGGTCACAGTGCAGCTGGAGTCACTTGCAGATAGAAGAATCAGACAGGGGAGCAGCAGGAGCAGGAGCAGAAGGAGGTGAAGGGGGAAGGCAGCGCGGAGAACCCGGGAGAAGAAGGACCGAGGAGGGGAAGAAGGTTCTCTCATCTCTCTGCAGAACACCGTAGACAGTTTAACGCAGGAACACACACACTTACTCTGGGATGTATTGTACGCATAAGACTACTAAATAATCATTCGAAAAGCTATACACTTTAAAACTTGAATAGTACAGGATTAATTAAAGATAAAATACTGACGTCGTTCTTTATACCTTTGAGTGGAGGAACCCTTCTTTGAATGTGTGACCTCTGCAGAGGCACTTTGGCCTTGGACGTCCGATACAGATTCACAGCCCTGAATTAAAAACAAGTGAAGACAATATTAGGTTTTCAATTGATTGTGACCCTGAGACCACTGCTGTGGGCTGGACAGACCGGATAGGCACTGCTTTAATTGTGAAAATCATCTTGTGTTTTTAAAATTTTATATATTTACATGACCTTGATTACTCTCAAACAATACATAGAAATATATTTAAAAATTTAAAAAAAGATTTCTACAGTGAAACTACATTATTGAGCGCAGTCATGGACAACATTCAATGCCTTTGTGGACCACCGGGGGGCCACGGACCACTGGCCAAAGGGGAGAAAGAACATCAATGCCTGGATACAGGTTTGGTGCCTCTGAGACACTGCTCTAATCTGACACATACTGTGTAAATCTTCACCAGGAGTACCGTGTACTCTCCTGGTTATAACGGTTGTATGCAACTCTGGAGGAGCTTTTCAAAATCTGAGTCCTCCAACTACATGGAAATGCAGTTTACAACAACCTATTAAAGTGATTTAAATTTAAAAGTCAAGAAAATACTCTATCCACACTTTCAGGACATCATACTAAATATTTAAAATACTGGAGTGTGATTTGTTTTGTTACCAGACGCTGTTGCAGGGAGCTGAGGTCCTGCTCCACCTCTCTCAGCAGCAGTTTCAGCTTACTTCCCGTCACGTGGAGCTTCTCCCGGGCCTCATCGTTCTCCTCCGCCTTGTCTTGGGGCTGGAGCTGAGACCACAGTGCCTGGAGGGAGGCCTGCTGAGCTCGCCGGTCACGGAGCTCCGCCTGCAGATCCTGTACACCACAAACATTAGGGATGGTGGGAGAGATTAAATGACACTTTGAACCTTGGTGTTTAAAAGCACTTTCCTGAATAAGCCTTAGTGATATCATCTTGTCATTTTCAACCATAATCTGTTGAATGTAAAGATTCTGAATGTCACTGTGTGCAGTTAAACCAAAGACATTTTAACAGCCACTTCAGATCAGTAATGACAGGAGTCCACAGGAGTCACAAAAGCACTGCCATCTTATTAGGAGGCTTTGCATTTTCATGTCTCATATAACACCGCCATCTTATTAGGAGGCTTTGCATTTTCCCTGGGTATGTTACATGTCTCATATAACACCACTGTTTCCCTCACTTGTGCCATAGTCGTGCCCATGTAAGATGCGAGGAAAACACGAGAGGACTCAAGGAAACAATTCCTTCATCTGAAACATCCAATCGCCAACTTGTTTCTGAATAAGGAGTGTGTTATTTCAGAAAACTTTCTGTGAAGGATGGTATATTGTGTCCTCGCTCCACAGAGCTGGTATAAGGCACTGGGAATGTCCTACGTCCCTTGGTCATCAAGAATGAGTTCCAGGTCGACCAATTACTGGAACGATCTTATAAGAGACATGAAGTGGAACCCTTGACCCAACAATACTCAGCTATGTACTTACAGTGAGGGTCTTGTGGTGTTGTTGCAGGGCTCTGACAGGTGTGTCTGGGCAACTGATGTCCACTGTGTACCGTCTGCTCTCTGCATGGGCCAGCCACAGCAGCAGGGAGTGCAGGGTTTCATGAAAATCCTGTGTGGAGAAGGTTAAAGGTCATTGCTTACAGTGCAGAATCTAGTCAGAAGTCTTCTTTGCTTTGCCTCCGTTACACTGGCTTCCCTCGTGCACATTTTGACACAGTTACGCAAACACTCATCATTTTGTCTGGAATGAATGGTGACAACTTTATGTACTGTGGTCAACACACACACACACACACAGCTTTTCTGTATTTCTCTGTACACTACAAAAAATTGAAACAAATTGTGTGGCTGATAAACGTCACCATTTGTAGATATTGAAGATAGAGTTTTACAGTAAAACAAGTAATTTACACCAAAGCTGCTAGTTATGTGAAATACATTCACATATCAATTGCAGCAGTGATTTAGAAGTTCCTGTATTGCACCTTTGACCAGACAGCAGCTGTTAGTTATCACAAAAATAACAGCAACAGGCATAAGAAGGCATATGTCAATAAGTAGATGTATTAAAAAATAAAGCCAAGAAAATGGTTATACAGTGATCCCTCACCTATCGCGGGGGTTAGGTTCCAGACACCCCCGCGATAGGCGAAAATCCGCGAAGTAGGGCTTGAAAAGCTACGGTGTTTTTTTTTTCATCGTATTAACTGTAACACTTGCCGTCTTCCGTATGTTCTTTTCGTCCTTCTTTATGTAGCGAACGCTGGATTCATTGATGCCGTAATGGCGGCCGACACTCGCATAACTTCGTCCTTCTTTTAACATGTCCAAAAGTTCAACCTTTTCAGCAATGGTTAGCATCTTCCTACGACGCTTGGGCTCGCTGCCAAAATCCTGGGAAGACGTAGAACGTTTAGGTGACATCTTATGGCTTTAATAAAGGCACAAAAATGCACTAAAACACAGAGTACAAAACTTGGCGTATGTCGCGTACGGATGCGTAGAAGCAAAGTGGGCCCGACTGGAGCGGGAAAACTCGCGGTATTGTGAGGGGCCCGCGATAATATTTTACATATAATATATTTGAAAACCCGCGATATATCGAGAACGCGATAGCAGAACCACGATATGGCGAGGGATCACTGTACTCAATACATACTTCACCCCTAGACACAGTAATAATATGATCTAGGGAAGAAATTCCTAAGAAAGGACAAGACATATGGGTGTATTGAGACAATAAAAGATATAAATGTCCCAATGAAAGAGAATACATAATGAACATATACACAAAAATAATAATACCTAAAAAATATTTTTAAAAATGAAGCTAATAAAAAATCCTCCTTAAGGCCTCTGGGTTCCATTGTGTCCAAAGAGTAAATCCAGTAAGCTTCCCACTGTTTAATTCTAGAAATAATGTCTCCACCTCTAGGAGAAGATTTAACATGTTCACTAGCAGTAAAACCTGCTGATTCATGATTAAATTAGATTTGATCTACACTATGTTCAGCTGAAAATTTCAAATTATTCAAATTCTAAATATTGAAATGATATTTATGTAATACAGTGGGTACGGAAAGTATTCAGACCCCCTTAAATTTTTCAGTCTTTGTTATATTGCAGCCATATGCTAAAATCATTTAAGTTCATTTTTTTCCTCATTAATGTACACACAGCACCCCATATTGACAGAAAAACACAGATTTTTTTGACATTTTTGCAGATTTATTAAAAAAGAAAAACTGAAATATCACATGGTCATAAGTATTCAGACCCTTTGCTGTGACACTCATATATTTAACTTAGGTGCTGTCCATTTCTTCTGATCATCCCTGAGATGGTTCTACACCTTCATTTGAGTCCAGCTGTGTTTGATTATACTGATTGGACGTGATTAGGAAAGCCACACACCTGTCTATATAAGACCCTACAGCTCACACTGCATGTCAGAGCAAATGAGAATCATGAGGTCAAAGGAACTGCCTGAAGAGCTCAGAGACAGAATTGTGGCAAAGCACAGATCTGGCCAAGGTTACAAAAAAAAATTCTGCTGCACTTAAGGTTCCTAAGAGCACAGGGGCCTCCATAATCCTTAAATGGAAGACGTTTGGGACGACCAGAACCCTTACTAGAGCTGGCCGTCC